ATCTTCAGGGTGAATATGTGATGGTTGAACGTTATTGGAATCCTTATATAGGGAAGACAGTATGTTCCAGTTGGATGTGATGGGGCTGTTACAGATGTTAAGGAGCGGGGTTAATTTTATTTACAGAACAGCGGCCCATTCGGTAACCTGAAAATAACACACGCCTGTCGAAACGTATAATTACATAATTTATCTCATCAAAAAGTGTGGAATGAAAACAATGTTAATACTGAATAATTTATAATTTGTACTGTACAGGGAATAATATCAATGAGATTAAATAAGGGAATATGAGGTAGATGACGTAGGCTTACAAACGCTTGGCTCGAAAACCTAAAGGGAAAATATCATTTGGAAGACCTAGGCATAGAAGGAAGGGATGTATTAAAATGTATCATAAGTAATTAGGGGTGGACTGAATACTTCTGTTTCGACAAGGGACCAGTTTCTTGTTCTTGTAAAACGGTCGACCTATTGAAAATTCAAGGTTCATTAAAGGCGGGGTACCTGTGGAATGCAAGTGTGTCCGAGTTGGCATCATCTCTGATAAGGGCTGGATACAGCGAGCATTGGTGGAGCTAGCCAGGCGTGAGTCTCGACGGTGCGTGTGGTAGGACTTCCGGCTTTCAGAGTTTCCATGTGGCACTCCTAGGTCTTTACGTCGGAATGCCACACGCACTCACATCGCCAAGACAGTTTCTGATTCACCTTATGCTACATGTTTGCAGTGATATCGAAGTACGCACATACGAGTGTTGAAATTTAATTTCGGATGCGGGAAACAAATGAACTTATGACTCCGTGGAGTCTTGAGAATGTAATGGTCGCTCATCTAGCCAACATTTTTTCAGTTTTATGGGACTCTCAAGGCTCCTACCCTGAGCCAGATTAATCCAGTCCACACCATCCCACACGTTCTTACTTTAAGATATGTCTTATTATCATCCTCTTCCTACTTTCTCATCTTTCGACTGAAAGTTTTTATGGTTTTTTGTCGTTCCCGCACGTGCTACATGCACTGTTAATCTAATCATCTGTGTTTTCCCCTCTGTCGCTCTAATTGACAGTGTAGTATGTTGTAATAACCAGCGACCACTCCCTTCCCCTTGCTTTCCATTTCAAAATGCATAATCATCTTTCATCTGATTCGATGTCAGGCAGCCTCAGGAGTTGATTTTTATACTAAGTTATGTACGAGGTGCGATCGGAAAGTTTCAAGACTGTGTCAATAGAGGGCGAACCGGATGTAGTACGAGCTTCTGCCGCTAGGGGGTGCGGCCTACATTCATAGTGAATCAGTGTGCCAGCCGGCATCATCGAATTAGCATTTGTTTCTTAGTTACGGGCGTTTTGGTAGTGCATTACACCGACCCTCCTGCGATTTCGGAATGGCGTGTGCATAAAATTTTGCCAAAGACTCGCCAAAATGGCTACGGAAACCTATGAAATGCTGGATGAATTTAATACCTGAGATAAGTGTACGGGTTTTTATAGGCGCAGTCTAGAAACTTTCCGATCGCACCTCGTATTAGGTGTGGCTCGGGATCGATATTTAACTTGGAGACCGTTTAATCTGCCTGAGAGTTTCTGTGGGTTTCGTAAGTTTCGGAATTGTTTTTATTAATTAGGGGGTGCGGCCTACATTCATAGTGAATCAGTGTGCCAGCCGGCATCATCGAATTAGCATTTGTTTCTTAGTTACGGGCGTTTTGGTAGTGCATTACACCGACCCTCCTGCGATTTCGGAATGGCGTGTGCATAAAATTTTGCCAAAGACTCGCCAAAATGGCTACGGAAACCTATGAAATGCTGGATGAATTTAATACCTGAGATAAGTGTACGGGTTTTTATAGGCGCAGTCTAGAAACTTTCCGATCGCACCTCGTATTAGGTGTGGCTCGGGATCGATATTTAACTTGGAGACCGTTTAATCTGCCTGAGAGTTTCTGTGGGTTTCGTAAGTTTCGGAATTGTTTTTATTAATTAAGCCGCAGTCTATCTTATGTCGTTACGTAACTTGAGATTCCGACAGTGTTTTTTTGGTACCTTCGGGTCGGAGCCGACCCCTGGTGACATTATGAACAAGTTCCCTCTGACAGGGACCTGTTCATATGTTTCCTAGGCGAATGATCCAGAAGTGGTTTGCCATTGCCTTCTTCTGTGTGTGAATGGAGTAATTGTTGGGGTGCCACGGAGAAACCGGGGAAGCCTCGGAGGAAAACTCCGTGATACCTGGACCACGGCCTTGCCCAGCACAAGTTATAAATCCGGGTACCACCGGGAATCGACCCCGGGACCCCAGGATTACAAGCCCAGCGTTCTGACCGCTAGACCAGTGTTGGTAACAAAGCTTAATTAGATGAATTTGTGCTGGACACACACCAAATTTGTTATTTTTGCATCGTAAATGAGTTTATTTCCGGTTACTGCTTTCAGTCGTACCTTCAAAGTGAAAATTTGCTGTTACCCGCTCTCCTCCATACGGAGGACAATGTGCTCTGTAAGTTATTCCCGGAACTACTTCTTTGCCGTGAAAGACTCCTGTCTGGGCGCTCCATCGTTGTTCATTTGCAGGATGTGCTTCTGTTTACATTGTACTGTGCAAACGGTCGTTCCACTGTAATTTAATCTTCGTCAAATTAAAGCGACTAGGTGTCTCTTTATTGTTGGCCAAGATTGCAATTTGTGTTTAGCGGATTTTTTTTGGGGGGGGAGGGAGCTGATGAAAAGTGACGGTCGTACACACACACATAACAAATCTTGTAAACCAAATTTCCAGTAATTTCAATTGAATAGTAATTCAATAAATGTGACTAAATATTGGCGGGATATTTGGGAGCCGATTCCCGGCAGAATCCAGCTGATTTCCTTGAGATACTTCGTTTTTGCCTCAGTAACTCCAGACAGATGCTGGGATAGTCTACATCCATTTATTCCGCTTCCTTCCCGATTCATCAGTTGCTCTGTACTTAAATCATTGATAAAGACAACAGTCCCAGATATCTTTTTGTTTCTGTAACATCCATAATGGGGTTCTCGGTAAAGACGGCTACAGCTTCTCGCTCACATTTAGTAATGGGCTCTGAGGCTTCCACGCTCACCCTATACCAGGGGTCGGCAACCGAATGCTCACAAGCCAAATTCGGCTCTTTGTGTAAAATCCCTCTCTGACATAATTAAGAAAATTGTAAAAAGTTGAAGATAGCCCTTTTCTGGGATGTTACACCGTGTAGTCCAATATGTATTGACAAATGTTTCGGATATGTTTGCTGCTTCCATCCTCAGGGCGATCTGATGATGGAAGCTGTAAGCAGTTCTGTAATACTTCGCAACATCCCAGAAGACAGAAGCCTTCACGCTTCATTCATTTCTACATAACCTCAGAAACTGATACAGCTTCGTGAAAACTGAGTATGTAACCATCACTGACTGCGAGTGTGAATAAAGACATTTCCATCGACCTGCATCGTTCCGCTAGTTACTTTACAACTGTTCTTCGTAAACGAACTCTCCCTTACAATATATCCCTCCTGTGTGGCAACACCAATTAGATTCAAGAGCGCTGCTAATGGTCTTTTTTATATTACGTTTTCTGTTTCATTCTTTCGTTAGCTTGTAGTAACTACACGCTACATTCTTGCGAGGACTTACAATGGTAGAACTGCAATTGCTTCAAGAATAGCCCACAACTGTTACAACTGCAATACTTAAGGCCCCTAAGATTTTAAACCTAGATGATCAACTGGCTATGTAGATACCCAACTTAAAAACTACCAAACTAACTACTTAATTAACTAATGACAGAGCTAAGTAAGTGAGTGTCTGAAAACTTCGTTTCTTGTAGAACCCGAGTCATCATCTCTGTAATAATGGACCGTATCTTGAGCCAGTTAAATCCACTTCACATCCCGTGACCTGTTCTTCTAACATTCGTGTTTGTTATTTTCCCATTTATTTTCACGTCTTTTCAAATGATTTTCCAATCAAAATTTTGTAACATTTTTATTTTCTCTCCTCATGCTATATACCGCGCCTCCTTTCTAGTTTAAAGCGGCAAATTGAATTATATGAAGTGGTTGGATACATTGACACTTCATAACAACAGTGAAACCTATTATTAAAGTGTGGAACTTAAGGAGAAATACCAAGAGGTGTTCCATCTCTGGTGTAGTTTTATGGACAGCCTTAATTCTACAGCGTAATTGTATTAATTAGTCTCAAGTTACATAATTATTATTTACTTAAATATCGATGAAATTATGATTTTTTTTAACGGAGGTCTTGGAGGTAGGAACTGAATAAGTTGAGTTATAATTAAAGAGCTAATTTATTTGGGATGGTTAGTACTCGCAAGACGGTGTGGATGAAGCGAGAATACTTAAAAGTTGTTAGCCACCACATGTCGTCTCTTGCTGGAGGAAAGACGAAGGGAGGATAAGAAATTCTGTATATTTCAGTGGAGCCCAGTCAGTTGGTAGGAAGGACAGATCGCCAGTCGAGTCGATGTTTGCTTGTCAGAACGCGTGTCTGTTTCCGTTGTTTTCCGACAGGTGAAACAGTGAAAATGAAAAGAAGTTGTGGTCTGGGAGTTGTCGCTCAATGAAGGTTTGGTGGTTGGCACATGCGTAGTGTTCAGTTACTGCATGAATTGTTAAAGAGAGCGATAGAATTGGTCCAAGGTTATGTTTCTAACACACGGCGTAAAAGTAATCGTGAAGAAGTTTTAACAAGACACTACTTTCTTAGGAAGTTTGGCTTGGACATTAAAGTAATAATATGGTGCCGAGATTGAGAGTGAGCTGAGGTTTCCAACCATACCATGTCACTTAGATGGTTGTGTACATAGTGTAAGATGAATCTAGAGTGCAGTGATTTTGTGTTTTGATTTACGTAGTATTTTCAGAACTTAAGTTTGCAGATAAAACCCATACGTACACCGTATTCCTTTTAGTGGGAATTACCGTGTTGTGTTAACTATGTCACGTAAGATGTCTTTTTGCCTTATCACACGTGTTTGTGTTTAAGCCAATGCGGTGTGTGTCTGTGCCTGCTAACCTGCTTTTGTCAGTATTGTATAATAGACACGAAAGTGAAGTGCTTTCACAAAAGTGGTCATTTCCGAATTAACATGTTAAGAAGTGGTTACTGACGTGACGTCATGTTGAAATTTTGCCATGGCGGGAGCGGACGTCGTAGAGAATACGCGGTTAGTAGACAACTCTATAAAGTACAGTCACAGTGTAAAACAAATGCGTCAGTGGTTCTCAGAAGTAGTTTCTTGGACGATTCCAGCGGGATAAAATATCACAAAATTTTGGCCAACAACAACAACAACTGAGAATGAATATTTTTTAACGAGACATAAGAAAAGTGTATTTCTAAGCTTGTGTCTGATTTAGATTTGTAGCTTATCGGTTCATGCCGCGGACTACATTTTGAGGACCACTGGATTTAGGGTCAAATATTATGATATATACCATGCTGGATTACAACTGTTATATTATTGTATTGACTCCAACCAATCAAGAAACCACCAAACCACCAATGTGATTGGAAATAATGTATATATTTCAAGCATTTCATTTGCAACTTTCTGCGTTATATTGCTTGATGATTGCTGAAGATCAGCTTCATCCTCTAGTTGCAATGATTGTGATTAAGTGTTAAAACGTCACTGTCGGTTAAACCTCAGTTTTCAATAAATAGGTTTTAAACCTGTGTGATGATAATGCAGTTTTGTGAAGTTATTTGTCGAGAAGTTTCGGCATAAACATACCACCATCTGGGTTGCGTCATGCTATATCAGGAGTTTTCGTCATTGCCAGTGCATCACTAACATATCCAATTACATGTGTGGTACCGTAGAGTAGTGTATAAAATGAACACGAGAATAAATTTGCTTAAGAAGATAGTAAATGGAACTATCAGCTGAAATGTTTTAGATACAAACGCATTTTGAATAACATTTTAACCAAGTACTGACTGAATATGATACAATTTAACCCTGATTTTACTAGAGTAGTTTTTGGAAATCGTGTTTAACTTCTGTTATTCCCACAATCTTTCCAGGAGCTTATCAATAAGAGGCTGATAGTTTTTGATTTAATGTTCTGTCAGATATAACGTTAAGAAAACGTGTTTTATGATATAATGTGACTTCCTTATTACACGGGGGAAATAATCGTGGTAAAAAAAATAATAAGACGTCTGCACATCGGTGGGCCGCAGATTGAGAACCGTTTTACATCATACTTGCACAGAGCTTACTTAGAAATAAAATATGTATAATATCTCTTTAACTGCTCAAAAGAGTTGTTTAACATTTAAAGTTGTCTGTAACAAATTGAGATTTGAGGTTCTCACGACGGTGAGTCTGAAGATGGCTGTCTTCTGGGTTGTTGAGCCGTGTAGTCTGGAATAAGTTTACCGACGTTTCATGGGTGCTTGTCGCCTCTATAATCTATAACGATGAAGGCAGAACGCACTTCTGAAATGTCGGTAAACTACGAGATTACCTGTTTGCAGCATTAAGTCTAATTCAGTAGTATTTTTAATAAATTTTCATAATGTTTCAGTAAATTGTTCTCACTTCATAACTCTGAGACTCACGAGTCGATAAGAAAGGACGAATCGGTTTCCAAGTTGAAAAAGGTTGTAGCACATGAAATTGGATAATATTTGTGATACTCTGGCAAAGACGGAAATTTTTCCTGACGGCGGATGTAACGCTGATGATGGCATGTTTATGCTGAAAAGAGTTTGTATAAAGAACACCTAAAAGTGTAGATGTATAACAAATACAAAACTACATTCTAATAATACACGACGGAAATGTATACAATAAACACTGTGGTAAAGAAAGAGTGGATTATCGTCAAACTTCTAGCGACTGTGAGATGTTTTCGAAAGTACGGCTTGGCGTTTTTCTGCCCCCATTTCGATTTCTTATCAGATAAACAGAACATCCAGTAGCCTTCGGGAATTCCTGGCATGGTCAATTAGCGTCCAATTTCGAATAACATTTTTTTTCCAAATACTCACCATAAAGGAACTTTAAATGCGGACTTGGAATTTATCTTAAGCTCAGTCAGTTACGGTATTTTTTCGGCGTAAGGTTTTACAACTGTAATGAACTTAAAATTTATGGAAACGAGGTATCCCCCCCCAGCCTAAAAACATTTAAAATCTCCTGTTTCTCTTCCATGTCAACACACTGCCTCCCCGTTACATCATCATTCCCGTTAAAAATATTTCATAAGAACCGCCATTTTGTTTTAGAACTACAGAAAAATTTGTAAGATTTGAGATTTTCTCAGCGGTGAGTATGAAGATTTCCGTCTTCTGGGTTGTTGCGCTGTGTAGTCTGGTCGATGTTTACCAACGTTTCAGAGGTCATACTGCCTCCGTCATCAGGGCGATTAGTATGAAGATTTCTGTCTTCTGGGTTGTTGCGCTGTGTAGCCTGGTCGATGTTAACCAGCGTTTCAGAGGTCATACTGCCTC